TTTGGCAGCATCATTTTGCTTTCAAAGATGTGTTACACACACAGGTATGTGTGAACATAATATACATACATATATAATTTTATTGAAAAGTGATTTGCTAACTTCATATGGATAACATTTATTTTCATAAAGTCAATCAGTGAGATTGATGACTAACTTCAAAATTGATAATTATGAATGCCAGATAAAGTCTGATACTGGCTTCTGATTTCTTCATTCTTTTTGCTTTTGTTAAAGAGCATTTAGAAATTACTGATTTATATATATATGTAGTTAAATTATATATTTTTCTGATTACTTTTTGAAATTTCAGACAATAAACAGGGATGACAGAAAAAAATTATCATAATGTCTGCATAAAACAAATGAGGAACAGAAGTTAAATTATTGATGGATCATTGTGCTAAAATTTACTAATTAACATTTTCGTAGTTCATTTATTTAACTAAACATTTTCTTTTAGAATAGATTTTGATTTATGGAAAACTTATAAAGATAAGACTGTTTCCATACATGTCATATCCAGTTTGCTCCTACTTTTATCATATTACATTGGTAATATATATATGTCATAATTAATGCACAAATATTAATGTATTATTAAAGTCCATACTTCATTTAGATTTCTTTAGATTTTATCTGCTATGTGTTTTTTTAATTTTAAGAGGGTAACCTACATTTTTTTATAACCTAGTATGCAGTTTAAAAATTTTGACATTTGTATATACTCATGTAATCATCACCCAGATCAAGAAATAAAACATTCTCACTAATTTTTTCCCTTCACCTATTTCACCTACCTCTACGGCAATTACTGGTGTGTTCTCTATGTTTATGCATCTATTTCAGTTTTGTGTATTCATTTGTTTTGTTTTTAGAATCCACATGAAAGTGAAATTATATATTTGTCTTTGTCTGCCTGGCTTATTTCATTTAACATGATACCCTTTAGGTCCATCATGTTGCCACAAATGTCAAGATTTCATTCTTTTTTATGATGAAGAAATATTCCATGGCATACATGTACCAAATCTTTATCCATTTGTGGGTATAATTGCAATATTTTTGGAATCTCTTTCCTGGCCTTAGTGCATCTCCATATTAATAAGTGTTCCCAAGGGGTGGAGAGACGTAGTCCATCTCCATATCAATAGGTGATTACAAGTGGAAGCAAAGGTATATAGGACTGGAGAGGTTGGGTGGGGTCGCTTTTTGCAGCTGGGTCGCAAGAGACATGGGTGAGAAGAAGTGGATGACTGCTTGTAGGCAATAGACGGCTTTCTTCCACTTTATTTCTCCCTTTGACTTATTTTGGTTTCAAAGGAAATTTGCCCAGGCTGGGAGAATGTTTTCCCCCTGGAGTTACAATGTTTATATATTGATGGACATTTAGATTGTTTATATATTTCAGCTATTGTAAATAATGCTGCAATAAACATAAGAGTGCATGTATCTTTTCAGATTAGTGATTTTGTTAAATTACATTTTAATAATTAAGTCTTAATAAAATAGTGTAATTATTAAAACACTCCTAAGTTTCTATGATTTCTGTAGGACAGAGCAAACACCAGGCCTTTTCTGTTTCAGCCTTACCTGTCTCTTCTCTGTCACCCTATGCCAGTTGTCCTTTTCAAGTTATATTTCTCAGTAAAGAATTATTTTCTTTTTAGTCCTCTAAATAAATTGTACTGATTAATGCCCCAAGTCTACGCTGGCTTTCTGCTTGGATAGTCTCTTTATCTCCTTGTCTAGCTAGTGAATTTTGATCGAATCCCTAGAATCTAGAGTAAGAACCATCTACTCTGTGGCTCCGTTCTATAATAACCAGCCTACAGTGGTTGTAATATCAGCCATTTTTGTCAAATTGAATACTCAAATTTCTATTATTTTTTGTTTGATTTATTACTCCATGTTCCATTTCATAAAATTTAATATAATTTCTCTTCCCTTTATATAGACATGACATATAGAAATTTGAGAAACTTTGATATTTAACCAAGTTTCTTGATATTTAAAACTTTGATATTTGATCTCTATAAAATCTGATAGAGCAAGATCTTTCTCAAAGTGTGTGTATGTGCACACACAGATATAAGATCTTCCCTTTTCTATTTTTGCCTAGAGTCGTTCAATAAAAATGAACTGAATTAATCATTGCAACCAAGAGCTTTTTATTTACCTGATTTTAAACTTTATAATTTAATATAATGATTGTGCCATTTAAAATAATTGTGTTAAGGGGATTTGTTAAAAGAATACTAGTAACACAATTTTTTGTGAATTAAACATAATTTAATTAGTGCTTTGATTATGAGTGATGATAATAATGTCCAAATTGGTCTGTGCTGATTTAGTCTTATTTGTGTTTTCCCCTCTTGATTCAAATTGCTGCTGTTATACAGGTTTTAAATATCTCTACCAGTAGAGAAAGGAGACATAAGAGCAGAATAAATTTTTTCCATTTGGTTTTCACTATTTGTAAAACAGAATGATTACAAAATTTCAAGGAAGGATTTTCTACACTAATTTCCCTTGCTAAACCTCTCTTCTTTCTGGGTGGGTTGTGAGAGTATAGTGAAATTATTAAATACTCATATATTAAGCTAAAGAAATAAATCCAGCTTATATATTTGTATTTGAGATTTAACCTTCTAAGTGGTATTTTCCAATTGGGAGTAGACTGAAAAACAGAGAAATATTATTAAATTTATTGTTGGTAATTATTATTTTTCATAATGGCAGTAACCATTTACATTGTGTAGTGCCAAACAGTTACTGCTTTCTTATTCATCATCTCATTTAATCTTGACACACATTGATTTCTATTGGAGCTAAAAGGATTATTAATTTCCATTTGTAACTGAGGAAGCTAAAAGTCAGAGTGCTTAGGAAAATTAACTAAGATTATATAATCATTACATTGCCAAAGAGAACCAGAACTCAAATCTCAAAGGAATTAATTTTTTTCTTAGCAACTAATTTGATTATGATATCTGAGCACTTAATATTTACCAGGTGACACAGGGATGGTAGTACAACATGGAATACAGCCAATGATTCTGTGACATCTTCCTATGCTGACAGATAGTAACTGCACTAGTTGGGGTGAGGCTTTGTAATATAGATAATTGTTGAACCACTGTGTTGCTTGAAACCAATATAAAATTATGTATCAACTGTACTTCAATAAAAAAAATTTGGTTTAAAAAAAATCTATTTGCCAGGTGATGTGTTGAGTTTGAGGATCCACAGATGAAAAGACATCTGCTTCCTTATAAGAGTCAAATCCCAAATAAATAAATAAAGGAATTCCACTACTCTTTTTTATTTTTGCTCTGACTAGTGAAGGGACTAACAGGTTTCATGCAATGAGCCAAAATGTTGGAAATTAATAGATTTTTAAAAAGAACCAAATTTGGGGGGCATGGATTGTGAAGGAAAGTTTTACACAGGCTGTCATAGTTAGTCTTAAAAACTGACAAACACCTGAATCAAGATAGTGAGGATGGACAGATCTGACATATATTTGGCAAGAATTTTAATAACAGTTAAGAAAGGATTGGATATGGAGAATGAAGAAAGGTGAGTAGTTGAGAAAAGCTGTTAGTCTTCTTCGCAATAGGAAGTGATAGAGTACTAAAGTGAAAGAAGGAAGGAGAAGAATGTTACGGTTTTTCAGCACAAACTTCCTTTTTTTTTAACCACTGCTTTCCATTTTCATTGATTATGTCCTTGGCTAAATTAAGCTTTGATTTCTCTTCCTATAGCTTTTCTTTCTTTAAGTGAATATTACAATTTAGAGGTAGAATTTACAACCAACGGAAGGAGGAGAGAACCCAGGGATAGTCTGCAGAAATAGAATTCTTAGGTCAGTAAATTCAGAGGAGCCTTAACTGGTTGCCAAGACCTGTCAGAGAGATGGGCAATTAAGAAGTAGAAAAACACAGATAATGAGAAGAAAGATAAGACGGTGTTTCAACAAATGGAGCACAGTACTTGAGGTTGAATTACAAATATTGCATTCCCAGCTGTCTTAGCAACGCGAGCCCCTCTTTCAGTAGACCTTAGAGTGTGAACCCACCTGACAGTGTTGTAAACAGCATTAGAGTACCAGTTATTTGAAAGTCTGGCTAGCCTCATCTTGGAATGGTCTGAGGAAGAGCTAGGAAGGGTTTGTGTTTAGAAAAACAATGTGGTAGGGCACAGGAAACATTTGAAATACAAATAAAAGCTGTGGGCTTGAGGAAGTGTGTGGGTATTTGGTAATGATAAAGTATTGCTTCTTAAGCAGACCCTGCTCGGCTCAGTGTGGAAAATAATGAATCCCGTGGTTACCGAGACTCACTGCCTACTCAGTTAAACCTGTCAGTTTTGCTACCTGAAAGAAATCACGGACTCAATAAAGACTGAAATAGCTCAACGACCAGGAAGCCTGTGTCTAACCACGCTTTATCATGGAGCTGGACAGTTAAATGGGAACTCAAGTATTTGTCCTCACTTTCCGCATCTACAAAGCTCCACCTTAAATACCCACCTGATTCTCAACTCTTCTACAAATTCTGCTTTAAAAATATGTGATTGATATGAAGATGAAGCATTTAGAAAATTAAAAAGAACCTCTTTTCATGAAGGTTTCCTGCATGTCTATCATTTTATCACTACTTTCAATTTGAGATCACTTAATAAAAATAGCGTGGATAATGTGGGCTTTAATAAAAGCAAGGCTTCTATTCAAAAAAATTTAATTTAAAATGTTAATCATAGCACATAGAAATATTATTTTAACCACACTAAGCAATTCTTAATAAGATGAAAATATTAAAAAATATATTTCTATTAGTTGACCACTCTATTCTTAGCTATTTCTGTTGATTAGATACAGATTGCCATAAATTATCAATCAGACTAAATTTTTATGACAGCCTCTTTTGTGTAGGTATATGCATAGTTTGTATAATTTTCCAGTAAAGAATAAAGTATTTTGGGAAAATACCACTAACCTTTATGGGAAAGTAGTTTGTCAAATGATTCACCCCATACCACTGCTTCTTCAGGGGAGGCTCTGTTCAAGAAACAAAATGTTTTATAATGGAGTAGGTAGAAAGTCTCTTTATGAATCTGCTTGAACATAAACTATAATACTGTTCTTTTCAGTCATACTTCACAGAGTTTCTCCTTTCATTATTACATAATGAAAGTTGTATATAACATTGGAAATTTCAAAAGCATTGGTCAACTTTCTTTTGGAAATTGAAATAATGTGTTAAAAAACTATTTTCTCATCAGTGTATGACTTATTTTTAAGGAAAAATAATCATGTGTTAGGTTAAAAGCAAAGAAAAAGAAATCAGGTTAATTATTTTTCTTAAAGTAAATAGAAGAACCTAGACTGAGAGTATCTTTCCATCAAACCTTTTTTTAACTGCAATTTCCTTGAAGCTCTTACCACAATATGCAGCAACTTTTTTTTAAAACACAGGAAGTTTGACTAATGAAGTTTTAACGGGATAAAAGATTTTAACCCAAATATTTTAGAGCTGTTGATAATTTAGGGAGTTGAATATATTTATTTGTCTTGGAACTTTCTCGGTCATATTTCATATTTGGAAGAATTTGGGTAATACTAATATATAAGGCTATTCCATTTCTGTTTGAATGAAAGAAATAGCTAAAAATTACAAAACATCTCTTTTTGTGCTTTACCTGCTATTATACCTAGGACATTTTTTCAAATTACTGAGGAAAGAGATGAATAGCTCTTCTCTATGACAATATTACATTGGGAAAACTCTTAAACTAATGAGTATTTCATCAGTTTATAAGGAATAAAATACATCATTTAAAATGGACAAGTATGTAATTTTAAAAGAACACCTTTAAATTTTTGTAAGATTATTTAATTCAAGCTATTAAAATGGTTTGATTTTATGGAGTTTTCCTAGTTTTTAAAAATGAGATCTCTAACCTTCCGTGAATTACTTTGTAACTTTCAAAAAAACAGAAATCCTGAATTTTCTCTTTCTTATCTTTAGTGATAAAACCAGCAAAATCTCCCCCTCCCCGGCCCCCCTCCAGCAATTAAAAGGTATTCACCTTGTTTCTCTGGCCAAGTGCCCAGATTTACTGGAGTGGGTATCTTCGTGAAACTCAGGTTTCTGAACCAGAAGACTTAGCCTGTTTCTTTTTTCCTTAGCTCTGCAATGAAAAGGCATTTGCTTCAGGACAATTTGGATCACAATGAAAATCTGTCTGTCCCATTGTCAAAAAAGTTTGGGACTGGTAATTACTTTAACACCCCTTCTCACTCACCCGCCACCCCCACGCATGCACAATGGGATTGCTAAAGAATTCATTAAAACACTATGTTTATGGAGGACCTAGAATAGCGTAAGTGAAATATATTTGTTTTTTCCTTCAGCGACTGTAAAGTCTTTGAGATCATATTTCAGTAAAGATTGTTGCTGGTTTTTCTGTGTGGTTAAAATTGCTGCACTTTAAAAAAAATCTAAACACTTTAGATTTACAAGTTCTTTACTCCTAGTAAATAAAAAGATTCTTTGCAATTGTAACAGCATAAGCAACATATTTTCAAACAGATATTTTAATAACCCATGCTAACAAATATTCAACACCAATCATGTTTTTAAAAGTATAATAATGATTTAAATATTAGGATTTTACCTGATTTTGGCTTCTTTGCTTGTTTCTTCTTTCCCTGAACCATGTATTAACTTGAAAAAAGTTTTTTCTTTTGATTCACACATACTTAATTGAGAAAAGAAAACCAATGATGTTTCCATATTCTCTCTCTAAAATGAAGAAATGTCTAAATTACTACATCTTTCACTTGTTAATGCTATTCCATAGTTATACATGGTAGAATAAAAATTTGTCTCCACTCTGTCAGCAATGCTTAAAAAAAGAAAAAAGCCAAGAGCTGTGTTTCTGTTTCTGCAAAATGTTGAACTGAGGAAGAGAAGTACAGTTTGGCCCTGCATTGTTTAAGGAAATGATACTACAAATTTGCAAAATGACTCTTGGTCTCTGAGATAAAGACTTGTGTTACCACAGTGCAACTTCTCTTTCTAGTTTGTGCAATCAGAAGGATGCTTTAATAGACCCAAATGACGCTGTCATTTCCTTAGTTTTCTGAAAAGTTCTTTAATATGTCTAGTGTGAGTTAAAATGTGTCATGATGCAATAATATATCAAATATTAGGAGTTATATCCCCATGTTCTTAAAAATGTATTTTTACTTATTTTAATTACATTGAATTCAGTAAAATACATTTAATCAACATAGTGGTATATAATGTTAATTACTTTTGCTTAATATATAGTATCGAAATAGGAATATAGGTCATAGAGTTTTACAGTTTGAAAGAGACAATAGAAAGTGTTTCATTCCATAATCTTTTAAGTACAGGTCTATGGAATGACTTTAGACATTTATGAAATTTGTACCAGTCCATGATGAAAATGAGAAAGAAATTAGGTAATTTTTTTCTTAAAGTATATATTTATTTTTTAGTATGAAGTCTTTCCTTATTTTGAATTTGCCCTTCTGCCTTTTTAATTATTAAAATGTTTTTCAATGAAATATTTTAGCTAGAGATGGTAGTTTGTTTATTTATGTCCTTTTTAACAAAGAAATGGTAACTCCAAGTTGGTTCAGCCTTCACTTCTTTCCCATTTCATGGTATCTAAATATTAAGAAATACTGACCTGGCCCATAACTTACATTTTACAGAAGAAACCAAAAATGATAGAATTAAGTGATTTATTCTTATGAAAATACAGACGTCAGTAAAAGAGCTCCAGAATTATCAGAACCTTTGATCACCAAAAGAAATATGCCTTAGTCTGCCCAAGAGCCTCTGATCTCCAGTAGCGAAAGCTTTAATTCCTCCAAAAGAGTATATGTTACAAAACAAGTTAACAAATCTAAAAGAAAATTTATTTTATTTTCAGTCATCTTGAACTACTGATTTCAAGAAAGTCAGGAATACCAGCTAGGACTTCAAAACATTTGCAGAAGTGAAATTAAATTTTTAGTTATTATGCAAAGTAACTTTATTTTGAACATGTTTTTAAATTCACCTTGGCTGAAAACTGTTTAAGATATCATACATGAGGGCTTTTTTTATGACAAGTTTGGCTGGAAACAGATGCTGACAGTGCAGACTATACTTTCCCTATGATGTACCCTAGTATTTATTAGCATTTATTCTATTTATATGAGGTTTAATTTTGTAAAGGTAAATGCAAACAAGGGAATATCAGAGAAGCATGGACATCAACTGGTCCTTAAGACTTTTTTGAATTACAATATCCAGAGGAGAGAAAGACATAAACTTACTGAACTTTTTATCATAAGATTTATTGAAACTGTGTGCAAGTTGTGCTGTACACAAGCTGATACAACTATGGAGAGAGATATTGTGAAAATATGGACATAAGTAAACTGCATTAAAGGCCTGAAAGAGAATTGAGAGATAGGTGGATTTCCTCTATGCATACACAGGTGGAAGCAGGAGAAGAAGAAAAGGAAAATTCTGCATCGTGACTTCACCTAAGAATCATTCTTTTGGGCACAATTATCTTTTAAGTTTTTTTAATGAGAAGGAACAGTATTTTATGTTTACCTACATGACTGGCATTTCAGGCTTTCTCCACTCCTCTGTGCAGACCTGAGTTTTCATCCAGTATTGGTTTCCTTTACTGTAAAGACTTGCAATATAGTCTGTAGCTTTGATTTTCTGAATTTTTTTAAATTTTCTGTTTGAAGGATATTTTCATAGGAAAGAATTCTAGGGTGACTGTTGCCTTTTTTTTTTCTTTCAGTGCTTTTAAAAATGTTGCATTTTTTGTCTTCGGGCCTCCATTATTTCAGCAAAGAAGTCTGGAAATTCATGCTATAGGTCTTAAGCACTAATGTGTCTTTTTTTCTGTGGCTACTTTCCAGATTCTTTTCTTTTTCTCTGACTTATAAAAATTTGATTAAGATGCGAAAGGTGTTTATTTGACTTGGATTTGTCAAGCTTTTAGGACTTGTGGGCTTACAGTTTTCATCAAAGTTGGAAACTTTTAGGTACTAGTTTCCCATTTTTTGCTTCTTGTTCTCCCATCTTGAGAAACTAATTACAGGTGCGCCCGTACATTGTCCTGCTGGTCACTGAGGAAAACCTCCATTTACTTCAGTCTCTGTGCTGTTTGTTCCTCAGACACTGTTCATGATGGTGTCTTCATAGCAATGTTCACTCATCTTTTCTTCTACAGTGCCTAATCTGTTAAGGTTATCTAATAAATTTTTTATTTCAGCTCCAGAAATTCCATTTTTTAATAATTTGCATTTTTTTCTTCTCACTGTGTTCTCTTTTATAAAGTACTTGAACATATTTTAAATACCCATATTGAAGTTCTTATCTGAAAATTAATCCCTGTGATTCTGGATCTGTTTTTACACTGATATTTCCCCCGATGATGGCATATTTTCTTGCTCCTTTAAATATCTAGTGATTGTTTATTGGGTGCTGGACATTTTTAATTTTATGATATTAAATATAGCAATTTTTTAGTCTTTATCTAACAATGATGGGGTCTGAGCCAGCAGTTATTTGAGTATCAGCTCTGTTTTTAAAGTCTTTTATTTGAACTCTGTTATGGTGCATCTAGATTATTAATTACTAAGGTGTGAAAACTTCTAATAAATTCCCAGAGTGATTATTAAAGCTTTTATATTCTGGATACTAAGAACTTGAATGTCCGTCAGTCCTGTGCAAGCTCTGGCTATTGTTCATGCATATCTTATAGTGGGTACCCCTTGCCAGTTCTCGTGGAGTCAATCCTGTGTGAGCTGCTTATCAGCCAAAGTCAAATTCCCTGGGTTTGTGCAAACTTCTTGTGCACTTTCTATACTCTGTCTTGCAAATTTTAGTCCTCTTGCTCTCACTAAATGAAGAACATTATTTCCTCAAAATAAATCAGTACTTTTTGCCCTTTTTAAGGAGCACCCTGTAAACTTCTCTGTCTCTAAATGAGACTTGCATTTCTGCACTGAAGTCTTTAAAGAAAGTGGTTGAAGTTGCATGGCCTGATTCATCTGTTCTATTAAGGATCACAGGGGTATGTTATATTTTCAGTTTCTGAAAACAATTGTATTATACCTCTTTATCCAGTTTTTAAGTTGTTTTCAGTGGAAAATAATGTGTTGTGTCCGTTATTCCATTATGATGGTCATCTTTTTCCTGAAAGATATATTCTTTTACTTTACTGAATTTTGTCATTGCTATTATTACTTTAAAATTATTCATAGCTGTTCAATTAGCTTTCTTAAATTTTTCAATAATAGACTACTTATAATATATACAATAAATATAACATTAGTTTTCAGCAACCCTTTCCCAAGTGTTATATTCTAACTTATCTTCTAATTTATAACTTCAGTATATTAATTTGAAAGTTGGAATCCTTATCATCTTTTCCTTAATATTAAGAGAAACCAAAGCCCATTAAAATGAGGTTGGGTTTGAGTTATCTTTTGTGAATATGTGCATTTATACATTTATGCTCCTTATTCTCTTACTTTCTTATTATAACTTTGTATGGAATTGAATTTGATATATCCCTGTTGCTTATTTTCATGTGAAATTAGTTTTCTTACACTTTTAGAATGAGTATTCAAGAAAGCTTTTTTGCTTTAGTTTATTTACTTTTAATAATCACAGTGGTGGTAGCATTAGTATTGGCATTCTGAGAATAATTTTTGAAAGTAAATAATTAGTGGATGTTCTAATTTATCCTTCCCTGTGTCCTTCAGAAACAGAATTCTTAGTGTGGAATAACGGACATATAGATGGAATAGTGAAGAGTTTAATTAAAATCTCTTTAGTCATGCAGTTTGATTGCAAATATCAGTATAAACTCTGGAAGTTGCTACTGGGTGGGTGATTGTCTCTAGTCTTTTTATATTGGATGGAACTAGGATATATATTTTTTCCTACCTGTAAATATTTCCTACCTCTTTCCGACTACACAGACATGGATACAGTGACTAGTGCATTGGCAATGAGACCCAGATTGAGGTCTTGAAATGTTATTCCTTAATAAAGTCAATCTCAATTTAAAAGTGGAGACATTGTTGAGGTCTGAACAGGAACTGTACTAGATGAGCCTGGTAGATCTGGTTATATCTGGTTAGAAAGGAAGCTGTTAAAGACTAATGGAGCCAATTTATAATTATTCAAGAGCCGACTCTGCTAGTCTTCTACTAACTAAAATGATACCATTTGATTCAAATTTTAATCATTAGAATGGATTGAACAGATCAAACTATGGGTTCATAGTGATATTTAAAAAGAAATGCCTACCTCCAGAGGATTATAGAAATTAACCCATTATCATGAAAATGGTTAATAAAAGGAAGAATTAAGCAGCTATCCTGCCTTTCCTATTTATTCTACTGTAGGTAACAGAACAGTAGATGAGAGAAAGTATATCTTTCAAATATCCTAACAAATTAAATAATGGAATAATAGTATTAAAGTTTCAACTTCTAAACCAACAACAAATGATTAGATATGTGTTAAGCTTCAATGACTGCTCAGATCACAAAAAGAGGGATAAGCAGACTATTACATTCTTCCTATAGCCTTGCCATACTCTACTTACATGTTTCCAAAGAGATTAAATCTGAGTTTGATCTAGTCACTGGACCCAACTGCCAATTAGCAGGAATGACAGAGGACAGAAGAACATGCTGAACTGCACCACAAATCTGCAGTAGGTGAGATCTGGACTGTGGGGAAACTACATCCAGTTCTTCAATGGGTAAATTGTAAGAAAAAGATAAATTGAAATGAGGGGGAGATAAAATTGTTTCTGTGGATTGAATGGAAAACATAAATCTATAGGCAAACTATATTTTCTGAATAAAGGGCTAATTATCTAATTCTACCTGAAAGTCTGAGGGTTTGATTTTATCTAGGAAACAGCCATGTTCTACTACTTAC